TTACTACTGGGGTCCTGTTATTGCAGGAGCCTTTTTCTCTATCTTTTTAGTGCAAGCTAGGCTCTCCCTGCCATTTTTGCAGAGGAAAACTATAAAAGGTGAAATAATTACAGTGTAAGGTTTCTAAAGCCAGAACACTGATCAGAAAGTCCACAATATTTTTTAATTTCATTATTTCTTAATATTTGGAGTTAACTGTGGCTGGAAACATAAGTCTCATAATGATGAATCAAATGAGCAATTGGTTCATTCAGAGTACCAGAAGAAACCAGGGAGTAGCACATCACTCAGAGCACTCTGCTATAATGTAAAGTTTGTGTACTGAGTGAAGATAAGTGCTGAGGAGATGATCCAACATGCCACACCAAAGGAAGAAACCAGCTGAGGGTCTTCATTTCTCTCCAAGCACTGTGATAAATCCATGATTTATCTACAGTTTCACTTAGAAGCTGAGAGGTGTCTGATTGCTGTAAAGTTGGAAGAGTCCACAGAAAACAATTCAGAGTATCTTTGTTGGGGGAAGGGAGTTAGCAGGGTGTAGTACAGGACTCACCCAGCTATTGGTGTGGGTAGGTGAAATGCATTTCTGTTGTGGAACTGTGCATTTTCCAGTTATTTCCCCCTTAGCTATAACCTTATCATGAGAAATATGAATCCATTTCAACTAGGTACAGAAAAGGAAAAAAGTTCTGGTGGTGTTTTGTCCTTTCTCAGAGCATTTTGCACATTTCCCAGTGTTCTTTTGGAGAGGTAGGGCTCTCTCCCAGTGCTGTGCCTCCTGCTATGGAGGGTGTTTGAAACTGAGGGGTCTTCAGGGTAGAAAATGTAGGCAGAAAGAATTTTGGTTTTTTAATGTTGTGCAAAGTGACTCTGGTCAGGGTTGTAAACCTGGGTATCTTCCTTCCCTGCTCTCTGTGACTTCTTTGGCTCAAAGACCCACGAGCTGGAATCTCACCATCATCCCAGCATCCTCCCAAGGATATTTTAGGAGCAGCAGCTCACAGTATTTACAGCATTGCATAATGCTCCAGCAACAGCAATTCAATCCTATTTGGGATTCAGCCAATGTTTGTTGTCCTCCTTGGAAATGGTATTGATTATTGGAGCTCAGGAGCCAATTATGGCCACTGTGATCCTCACCACCTCACATCCCAGGGTGATGTGCTGGGGACACTGCACAGACAGTGAGGCTCTGGGCAGGCTCCATGCCTTGTACATCATCTGTGCTGTGAATAAGCAGTTACATGCTAAATGTTATTTGACATGCTGGCTGGGTTTTGTTTGCACAGGGGCTGGGATTAGTTTGGTACCTGTGCCAGTGGAGAGCAGCCCCACAGGCTTTTGGAGACCAGCAGCACTTGGTTCCCAGTGTTGCATTGCCAGGGAAAATCATCCTGGACTATCACACTGATCATTTTTTGTTGAGGCTGGTGGTGTTCCATGCCAGAGACCATGGATGGAATAACAGCTTGAGTCTGGGATCCTGCTCTTCCAGACTGTGGTAGTTGTCATGTTGGGCACAAAATGATGGTCATGGAGCCTGCAGGCAGCTGAGCTGCTCCTGGTGCCTTCTGCAGAGCCTTACACAGCAAAACCAGAACAATCTTAAGGCTTCATCCCAATGAAAGGTGAAAATGAAAACCCTGATTATAATAAACAAAGCCCAAATCTGTGACCTTTTAGAGGTCTTTCTCAGGCAGAGTTGAGATGTCCCCCATGGTCAGAAGTGGGAGTGGCTGCACTCTGATAAACCAGGTGCAAGAGGATCTTGAGAGCCCAGCAGAGATTTCTGCCTAATGGAAGGACAAGGGATGTGGCCATGCTGAAGCTGTGGGGATCTGGAGCTCTGTTCTCCTGTGGGTAAAGTGCTGGTGATGGTGAGTTGGTACTGCAATGTGGGCAATTCCTCCTTTTGCTCTTTATTTGTTACCTTATTCTGCCTGAGTCTCTGCTATTGTTACAGCTGGTGTTCTCAGCTCTCTTTGGGTTTACACCATTCAACAGCTTCCTGGGCAAAGCACCCTCCCACATGGCTTATTTAATGCTATTTAGATGAATTTGTTGACCCTTCAGCCTAGGTTTGTTTCATTTAAATTTAGGCTGTACTTTTCTACCTGGCTGCCTAGTGGAAACAGTGTCCAAAATTGGTATTTCAATCACTTCCTATATATTTTTCCAAGTTAATTGAATCATGAGAAGCAGGTTACTTAGGCAAATGCAATGGCCCTTGTCATACTTCCTAGGGCCTGTTAAACACATAAACCCAGAAATTATTAACACTTCCCAGGAGTTACAAGTACAATGAGCAAATCAAGCCTTCCTTCCCCCTGAGGAAGAGCTTGGTGAGGTCTTCTTGGGGCAGCTCATCCAGCACAGCTGCTGCTGGACTGGAATGGGATAATGCCTCTGTCCACCACAAAATACTGCATCTTCCATCACATCCCTGGCCCAAAATTGTGTTTAAACTGGTATTTAATGAATGCAGTCCTTATCACCTGTACAAAGCAGGAATATCATCTCCTCTGTGAATAGAGCAGGGAATGAGCTGTGATCTTGCTGCCAGGAGTGAGTTTTTAGTGGGCTTGGGCACACCTGGATGTGCCTGCTGCAGGTGGGATCACTTGGTGAGAACAGACACCCCTGGCACATTTGTAGCTCAGCAGAAGTTGTTTTGAGCTCCAGCTTCTCCATGCCAGGTGATGCAGAAAGCTTGGGTTTGGAGGTGCTTTTCTGATGCAAAAAGCTGATGAGAAAATGGTATTTTGCTGCAATAATTTGCTTCAAGCACCTTGCACAGATCTCTCTGACATAACATGCTGTTGATTAATGCACAAACTTACCTCCTCTCCCTGGTGTCTAGTTTTCATTCCACATAAGCTCTGATTATTAAAAAAGAAACATTGGCTTATGAAGCTAAACATCAAAATGCAGAAGCAGAACCTTCAGTGTCCCCACTGTTTGCAGTGTGTATGCTCAGGGTTGTTTTCATGCTACACACAACTGAGGCTATTGAAGAGAGCAAAATGTGTTTGTTATTCAGATCATTTGGGGTTTTCAGTGCTGGCAGTGTCTCAGGGAAGGGATACCTGAGGATTCAGGGTGAGGTTAGGAATTTATGACAGGGTGTCTGGGGCTGGACAGAAACAGCTCCCAAAGGTCTCATTGAAGGAGAAAGAAAGGCTGGAAGCCCCAGGAGTGTGTGGACATGGAGACATGCAAGCACTTGCCTAAAGTGCCAGAGTGCTACTGCAGGAGCAGCAATGCTGTGTTCTGTGCTTTTGGACTCCTGGGCTGCATCTCACCTCTGAGCTGATGCAGCCTCCCCTGCTCATCTGCTGTGTCCTTGCTGGCTGGATCTGCATCTGAGATCAGGTTCCTTACCCCAAGCAGATTTAGCTGAGATGATGCATTTGTTAGTCTGGATCTGAACTGTTTGTTTCTATAATTCACCCCAAAAAAATCAAAAACCCAGAGAATCCTAGAGAAGTTAATGCCTTCATTCCAGAGTCTGCATCTGGTTTTCTGGGCTGTTAATACATTAAGGGCTTTTTAAAACAGTTAATAATTTGTATTAAATTGTTTAGCTGCAGATTTTTAACTACTTGACCACAACCGATTAGAAGCAAGTGGAATGGGATTATTCTTAGTATTTTCCATTTCCAAAGTAATTTGCATTATCTTTGCATTATTATTACTTACTTTGTAATCCCTAGTATATGTGTTACACCCTCCATCTCTTGCAGGGCTGTGTGGTGGTTCTGCTTTAGAGATGGAGGCAGGAGCCCAGGCAGGAGATGCACAGGGTGCCTGCTCTGCATCTTCAAAGACCAGGAATAGTGCCCAGGCTGCTCTGCCAACCTCCATCTCCAGTCCAGGAGAACAAAATTTAGGTTTAGATTAGAGTGGGAAAATGGAAATAAAGGAGGCCAGAACAGCTTGAGTAATATGTTTGGAGAAACTGTATGATAGAGATTTAAGTCCAAGACCACTGTGCTGCTTTGAAAGTAAACCAGCTGCAGAATCCCCATGGAATTACCTTGAGAGAGATTTCAGGTTGGAGTTACAATTTAATAGAAAGATTGCAATAAATGCAATGATACACAGAAGATTGGCACAAAGTCAGAGTACAGCCTGGCACCCTGTTGGTCAGGGTGCTGATCACAGTCCTGTCAAATGATGGTTGCAGTCAGATGCCATGATCCTGTGGAAGTTCTGCTCCTCCTCTGGATCCATCCAGTGGTGGTGGTGATGTTGAGATTCTGTAGCTCAGGTTCAGGCAGGAATGCTCAGTACCTCCCCCAGGGTGGGGAGCTTCACAATGGAATGATGTAATAATGTGAGTCATAGGATATTTTGGGGATTTCTTGATGGTCAAAGTTACAACTCCTATTCTGGTGGTGCCCATTATGGTCCATTAGCAGAGATTCCCCCCTTCAGGTTGGGTGTGACTGTGCTGGTGCTTCCCCAAAGGGGAGTTATCACAGCTGAGTCATTGGTGTGAAGAAGAAACACTACCCTGCCTTATCTAATTGAATACCCAGCTTGTGGCCTGGGGTGTCAGGCGTGGGATGGGCAGCTCCTGCAAGGGACCTATAATGAACAGTTTGTCAGGAATGATGTGGAGGGGAGTAGAATACACAGATTGTTTAAACCCACGTTGGCACTCTCCTTTTGTAACCACACAACCAGCACAGGCTGTTTCCACTTGGGAAGGTCGACAGAATTGGTCTCTGGCATCCAAGTGAATTGCTGAGTCCTGCAGTTCCCTGTGCTGTCCTTGATAATGGTGTGAATCCTGCCATGGAAATTCATGTGATCAGTACATGAAGGAGTGTCACAGTATGAACCTGTGGAGCAGCTTGGGAGGGCCAGGAGGTTGGGATAAGGGGGCTCATCTCACTCCTTGCACTGAGGTGTGTGCTAAGCACATACTGGCACATGGTGGACCTGGCTCTCTCTGCCTCTAAAACAAACCTCTGTCCTCCCTTCTGTCTCTGCAGAGCTTCCTTCCTCGGAACACTTGAGCGTGGCCGATGCAACGTGGCTTGCCCTCAACGTGGTGTCTGGTGGAGGTGGCTTCTCCAGCTCCCAGCCCATCGGAGTGACCAAAATTGCCAAGTCAGTCATAGCACCCCTAGCTGACCAAAACATCTCAGTGTTTATGCTCTCCACCTATCAGACGGACTTCATCCTGGTAAGGGGACATGAGGGGACCAGGCAGAGTTATTGAAAAACTCAGTTGTGCAATTCTGGGAACAATTTGTCTGTCAACAATTCTGTCAAGTTGTCTGGGAGTGGCAGAAGTACCAAACTCTGCTTTCCCCAGAGCTCTGTTCCTTGTAGTTAGGCCCTCTGACATCTCAGGAGCTTTTGCCATGAGATGAAGCATTTGTTGTCATGGGTTGTCTGGTGTCTAATGAGTGCTGAGCCCACACAGCAGTCTCTCCTGAAATGGAGACACTGGTAGCACTTCCCACCATCACTCAGACATTGGTTTTCTGAAAGTTAGAGGAACATAGTGTCTGCTGTCAGGTTGGCTGGTGATGGCCAAGAGGCCCCAAAGTTGTTTTGGTTATAGACAGACAGACAGACTGTCTTTCTGTCTCACACACATGTGTGTGCCTGCACCACAAGGCATAGCTTTATTTCCTGAGGAAACAAGACTGAAGAACAGGCAGTGCTGAGCTGTTGCAGCAATGCTGGAAAAGAGGTGAAGCATCTCCCACTTGGAAATCTCCACATTCTTTTTACAGTCATAAAAGCACTCTGGTGCTTAATCCTACTGATACTCCCAGTGATACCACCAAGTGTGCTTCTCTTGAGATACACCTGAATGGGAACTCAAGCAGGAGTCGTGTCCACTTTGCTGTGCACTAAAAATATGCACCCTCCACTGCAGGGTTTTGTCATGTCTGGTACATATCCAGATAACACCATAAGATACCCAGATAACACCATAACATAAGATATCCATATAACACCATAATGGAAGATATCCATAACACCATCCCCAGATGATGCTGTTGTCCCCTCAGGTGCGTGAGCGGGACCTGCCCTTCGTGATGCACACGCTGGCTGCCGAGTTCACCATCCTCAGAGTAGTGAATGGGGAGACAGTGGCTGCTGATGACTTTGGGGTAACAAATGGATTTGTCAAACCAAAACTAGGTAAGGATCAACTTGCCAGGGATTGGGGTGGAAGTTTTGCCTCCTAGCTTCCTTCAGCATTTGGATGAATATTTATCTTGTTTTAAGATTGCAATCTTACAAGCCTCTCTTAGTACAACCATGGATTTCAGTAGGTTCTTAACTTTCTGAGCAGTTAAAGTACAATTCATTGCAGTTGCAAAAATAATGTTGTCTGTAGCCCCTACTTCCATGTTTCAGCATTCCAAAGGAAAATGGCTTCTCTAAGAGCTTGTTGAAGTACTGCAGTGATGCACAGAGAAGATTGTTTTGTGAGGATCAAGGCCACAATGAACCCAGGGCTGTACAGAACCTTAGGATGTTTGCAGGCTAAAGGAGCAAGTATCAAGCCAAAGGGCACAATCAGGAAAAGGAACAATTTACATGCATATGCTTACCTACAGACATGTGTAATTTTTTGCCCCTCACCAGACAAAGCAGGGATCAGTTATTATGAAGTGCCACTCAGTTTCATCACTCAAGAGCTAACAATCACCTTGTTTAAGAAAATGAGTCTTGAAGAAAAAAAGCATCAAGAAAGGGCACAGTGAAACACATGTTGATAATGCACCAACTCACAGTTTGCTGTGGTGGTCTGTTGGTTGCTTGCCTAAATGCTGTGTTGCTCTGTTAGGTTGCATGCCTAAATGCTGGCTGCTTCTCAGCCACTGGCTGCAATCTGTTAGACAAACTGCTGCATGGCAGCTGGGTTTTAATTTTTCAAGATATTATGGCAAAATAGGTCCCCAGAAATGAGGGAAAACAGGATGGACTGCCAGCAACCATAGCCTTCCATAGCCCTGCCTTTTGATGGTGGAAACCTGCATTTTTTCCCACTTTCCAGTTTCTCATGGCCCCTCCTTTAGCTTGCTCCTCATGTCATGTGGATGCACCCAATGGGCTGAAAGCCCCTCAGAGCTGGGCAGGGCATGCAGGGTGACACCACCCCTATCATCCACAGGCCCCTCATTCCCTGTCAGAGAGCCAGCAGGGCTTCAGCAGTGGGGCACTGCCTTACATATACTGTCAGCTTTCTCTGTGACCCTTGCCAGGGCATGGATAGCACAGCTGATGGGACAGGAGCCTGCTGCAGATGTGGCTTCATAGCTCTGTGTGTCTGTGTTGTCTCTTTCAGTTCAGAGGCCTGTCATTCATCCTCTTTCCAGCCCAAGTAATATGTTCTGTGTCACCAGCCTGGATCCAGATACCCTTCCCACTGTTGCTACGCTCCTGATGGATGTCATGTTTTACTCCAATGGGTAGGTCCTGCAGGGATGGGCTTCCAGGAGAGGTGTGGAGTGTCTGGAGGCACAGACTGCAGGTCCTGCAGGGAGATGGGGCTTCCAGGAGAGGTGTGGAGTGTCTGGAGGCACAGATTGCTCCTCTGGGGTGCCAGGGATCTGCTGTGGCCTTGTGCTGCTCCAGTGCTCTGCACTGAGGGAGGGAGGGAGGTTTCACAGGTTCAAGAGGGTTGTCCTGACAGGTGGAAGCCAAGCAGGTGATTGAGGGTGCCCAAAGACACCTGCTGGCTTTGGAGAGCTGAGCTTTTTCAGAGTGAGGGTGACAGCAGCCGTGTGGTCAGTGTGGTGCATGTCCACACAGGGTTATACACAGAGCATGTACAGCTGGCTGGATTGCTGCCCCTTGGTGCCCATGGCTCCTGGCCCACAGCTCCTTGGGAGGACACCTTGTGGAAGGGATGGAGAGCTCTGTCAGCTGTGGGGACTGGATAGTTTTCCACCTGCAAAATAAAAAAAATGAAATCAGTATAATACACCAGAACTCAGTGTCACTTCCCTAAGTCAATATAATAACATTTCTGGTTTCACTGGCTATATCTGCTTTAAAAACCCATTTCTGTGCTCTTCTAGCCACAGTTAATGTTGTTCTCTTCTGTTTCTTCAGAGTAAAAGACTCAGTGGTGGGCAACGAAGACTCGGGACATATTCGCTTTTTCTCCTTTTCTCTCATTGAGGGTTACATCTCCCTGGTCATGGATGTCCAGACACAGCAGAGGTGAGCCTTGATCTTAGAGTAACCTGGACCTTAACAAAAAGGGATGTTCTCAAAGAAACAGGAAGCAGCTTAGACTTGTTAATTATTTGGACTGTCTTGTACAGGTGTCATGGGCCTGTACACCCTGTCACTTTTCTGAGTAAGATCTGGCATTTTAGTTCCAGTGTCTAAATTTTGGACTGGTCTGTCCAAGCTCTCAGTGAAATCACAAATCAATGTGATGTAGAGTTATCTCACTTTCAAAAGAGGAATACTGGAGCAAAGTGATTTTTGCACTTTTATTCTGTTGCTCATTAGCTGTGCTTGTAAGAGCAAAACCCAAAAGGAAAACCTGGTGCAGGTGTTTGAAATTCCTGCTAAAGGCCAAAATCAGGGTGGGGATATCAGTGATGCTGTCCTCCTGCTTTGCTTTTACACATGGATGGGCTTGGTTCAGAGTCTTGTTATGATGATGATATTGTCCCAAGTCATCACTGTGCAGTGGGAGCCCATGACTTGTTTGTCCAGCAAGGAAGGAGGCAGCTGCTGAGCCCTCAGCCTCTGTGTGTCTGTGTGTGTGTCTGCAGCTGTGCAGCACAGCAGGCTCTCAGGTCTGGAGGGATGCTGTACCCAGCAGTGCTTAGATTTGCTGTTGACATGCAGTGCAGTTTGGGTTTGGTTCTTAGGGGCAAATCCCCTGCTCCAGGGACTTGTTTTCCAAAGTAATAAATCACCCTCCTGAAAGGTTCTTTGACCTTACTGGAGTAAACCCTTGTCTGTCTTAAGAGGAGCCAGAGGGCTGCAGCTTCAGCCTGGGGTGTGGGAAACCTGGGGAGCCAATTCTCCTCTCTCACAGGCTGCCTGCTTCACCTTGGGCAACTCTCTAAACCTCCAGTCTCCTTTCCCCTGCTCAGAAATAGAGACCCCTGCAGTGGTCCCAGGCATCTCCCAGGATGGGATGGAGAAAGCACTGATGGTGCTCAGACACAAACCCAGTGGTTACTGTTCACATTCCTGAGAGCAGGCATGGAAACATATTCCATCTCTGGCTGTTTCCAAATGCAGCTCAGATCAAACCTTCACAGTTTCAACATTTGTAAAGCAGGAGCACAGCCTGTTACAGATTTTTTCCCATGCCTCTCTGGGTACCTATGCCCACCTCCAGCAGGAGATGCTGATTTGCCACAGGATACCTGGGGGATCAGGCAGGTGCATCTGCCCCACCTGCCTTGAGTCTTCCCAGTTTGCCCAAGCTACTCCCCACTATTGCTGGTTTCACACATCTCAAGGATGCAGGAAGAGCAGATCCCCCACAGGCAGAATCTGACACACTGCTGTGCTTTAATTGCTATGTTTGGTGTTCTTTTTTTTTTTTTTTACAGATTTCCTAATAATTTGTTGTTTACAAGTGCATCTGGTGAGCTCTGGAAGATGGTGAGGATTGGTGGGCAGCCTCTTGGCTTTGGTAAGTAACATTTGGAGGATCAGTTGGTGTGCAGGCAGGCAGTCACCTCAGGGCCTTCAAGGAGTATGGAAAAATCCATCTCAGGCTGATGCTTTTTAAGAGCCAGCAGCTTAACATGACTTTGTGGGCTGAGATTTTCAAATGGAAGCCTCACTCCTATTAAATGTTAAATCAAATGTCAAACTATTTGATAGTTTGACTTCTGAATATACTCCTACAAGTGCTACACGCTCAACAGTTCCAGCTGCATTGCATTCATCTGCTGAACTTTGGGGGTGGCTACAGTTGGGGCTTTGGTTAAAGAGAAAAACTGGACTTAAAGGTGGCATGGGAGTTGTTTGTAGATGCTGAAAGCAGTGGTCAGAAAGCAGTGTCATACTCCAGTGCAGTGCCTGGGTAATTCTGGGATTCTGGTGGACTTTTTATAGATTATAGCAGTCCAAGTGGAAGCCTTGTTCACAGATGTGTCTCACATCCAGTCCTGCACATGTTTTCTCTACTCAAAAGAATATTGCTCCTAAGTAGCACAGAGCAAATGCTTCATGCCTGGAGGAGTGTTCTTGTTATTTCTATGTGCCCTGCAATTTTAAGGGTCTGATCTGAATAATGCAACAAAGGCCTGATCTTCAGGAAATGCAGTGGCTCCTTCCTGGGGGCTCTGAACCACTTAGAAAATACAAACTTCAATAACATTTCTGAAAAACATTGGGCCAATTTTTTTATTTAATTGCAACTTGTACACCAGACCACCAAAAGTGGAAGAAGGAAATTTTCTTTTTACATATCTTTGAGGAAAATATATAGAAATAGCATGATATGTCATTGATAGCACATCAGGACATTGAGCAGGCCCATAAATATTTGATGTTTAAATATGTTAATTTCAAATTAAGTTCAGATGTTGAATTTGAATTAGTGAAACTCCAGGTTTCATCTGAAAACATTGATCTGCAACAAACAAGACAGATGAACCATTTAAATTTCATTTAAAGCCCAGAAGGCCAAGCAAATAGCCCAGATGGCAAATTGAGTCCCAGGCTGCATCCAAAGGACATGGTCAGCAGCTTGAAGGAGGAGATTCTGCTTTTCTGCTGTGCTCTTGGGAGAGCCCAGCTGGAGCCCTGCACTCAGTTCTGGTGTCCCCAACATGAGAAAATGCAAATGTTGGAGCAAGTCCAGAGGGGGCCATGAAGTCCATGGGAGGACTGGAGCACCTCCCCATGGAGACAGCTGAGAGAGCTGGGGCTGCTCAGCCTGGAGAAGAGAAGGTTGTGTGGAAAGCTCACAGCACCTCCAGGGCCTGAATGGGCTCCAGGGAAACCAGAGAGGGACTTTGCACCAGGAACTGGAGTGACAGGACAAGGGGGAATGGGTACCCATGGAAAGAGGGGAAATTTAGGTCAGATATTAGGAAGAAATTCTTCCCTGTGAGGTGGTGAGACTCTGGCACAGGGTTCCCAGGGAGGCTGTGGATGTCCCAACCCTGGCAGGGTTCAAAGCAAGGTTGGGTAAGGCTTTGAGCAGCCTGCTCTAGTGGGAGGTGTCCCTGCCCATGGCATGGGGGCTTGGGATCAGAGGATCTTTAAGGTCCACTTCGTCCCCTTAACAATCTATGATGATTCTGTGGTGAAATTGCTGTGAAATCCTGTTTCAGGGGCTGAGGTGGGCTGCAGCACAGGAGCCATGGGTCCAGGCTGGCTAATGGGTCAGCATCTCCTCCTTCAGAGTTGCAGGGCCAAGTGTTCAATAACAGAGAAAAATGGATGTTAAGGATATATGGGATTGAGTTTTGTGCTTTCTTCTTGAACATTGTTCAGTGCCTTTCTTTGGACCTCTAAATCATTCCACTCCTACTGGTTTTGTGCCTTTGGAGAATGTGTTTCTCTGTAGCAGAAAGAAGATAATAAAACTAAATGTGCAATGTATTGTTGTGGCCCAAAAACTCGATTCTGTGAGAAAGAACACATTTTATTGCAGAGATTCCTTCTGATTGGAGTTTGTGAAGACAAACTTCTCCATATGTAGGCATGGAGCTGGTGAGTTCTGAGACTTTTGCAAGCCCCTGCAGACAATGTTTGATGTTTTATCTCCCCACAGATGAATGTGGAATTGTCGCTCAGATTTCTGAGCCTTTGGCTGCAGCTGACATCCCAGCCTACTACATCAGTACTTTTAAGTTTGATCACGCCTTGGTGAGTATGAAAACAGCTTCTCTGGAGTAGGGGAGATCTTTTCTTAGGAGAAAACATTATGAGAATGTCACTTCTCATCTGGATAGCTCGTTGGAGAGCCTTTGCTCCAGCCCAGCAAATTCCTGTCTTCTCCTGGCTGTCCCTGCCCTGCATGGCTCCTGAGCCAAGCCTGGCCCTACCCAAGGCAAAGCTGTGTTAGTGAGTGTTGTTCTCAGTCCTTACCTGCACTGATGGAAACTTCACACCCTCCCTGAGCACCTTCTTCCACTGCATCTGTATCTTCTATTACAAACAGCCACAAACCCTTCCATTTGCTTCCTAAAGTAGTTGCAGGCTCCAGACCCTCAGGACAGGCTGGGACAGCCCACCCTTAAGGGGAAGGTGCTTCCTTAGGTGCTTCCTCCCCTTAAGGAAGGGTCACCACAGGTGCCTTTGTGTGTTGGGAACTTTTTGGACAGTCCACAGGTAGCAGACCCCAGTCTTCATCTCTTGGTGTCTGCCCTGTCCTAACCTTTGCTTTCTGAGACCCATCTCTTACCTCTGCTGTCCCTGCATCTTCCTGGTTGGTGATAAACAAGCAAGAATTGCCAGCAGAGCAGGAGAAGGTGATTTTGAAGCAGATAAGGTTGTTCCCATGTTTGTTCTCATAAGTGCCCATCAGCAGCTGCAGCACAGTCATCAACACAAGAGTCTTGCCATCCTTGGAGAGTTCTCTTGGTTTTTTGTACTGATGGATATTTTAATTCTAGGCCTACCTCTGCTCTTCCTTTGTAAAGAAAACACCCTCAAAAACGAGGAATGTCCCTAGAAAAGGAAAATGCAATTCCTGTAGCCACAAATGGGATGGCATTTTTCTTGGAACCCATTTCCCCAGTCCTGAAGGAGGGAGTCAGCTGCTTTATACTATTCTTTTTTCTTTTTTCTCTTAAATGTGCCCTTTATTACATTATACTTCTCTCTCCATCACTTACAAATTCACTATTGAGGTCCTACCTTTGACCTGTAAAAGCTCTAGTGAGATCAAAGCAGGTTTGGGGTTTTATAATGACTTTGTTTTTTCACAGTTGGTGTGAACCATTCACAGCTGATGGGTCATGTGTGTAAAGAGTAAAAGTAAATATTATTTCAGATAGCAAAGGTCAGAGTGTTATATATGTTTGTCTTATATTTTTTAATATTAACTGTGCTGATAAGATAAGCTAATAAAACACCATTTAAAAATCAATACTGTTAGCTTTGCCTCCCATTTCTGCCCATTGTGTGGCCCCAGGTGTGCACTTTCTGTGCAGAGCACAAGGTGCAGAGTGCTTCTACATGTCAAGCCATATCTGGAGAGCTCAGCCCTATCAGCTATAATAGATCTGTAGCTGAAAACTTAAACCACACAATTGCAATGACTCTGCAGCAGCTCCACCTTCTCAGAGTGCTCATCCTGCTGCCTCCAGCCCAACAGATCCTGCTCCCAGCAGCTGGCAGGGTGCTGGGGGGCCATGCAGGTCTTCCTTATTCAAAGCAGTGTTCCAGTGGTTTTCTTTGCTCATTACTGTTTTCTTTGTGTATGGTTTTGAAAGCCTTTTCAGCTGTGCAGTGCTGTTCCAGTTGTCAAACCCTTCCATCCTTTGGAAGGTGCATTTTTTGCCTGACTTTGCTCTGGGTGTGCTGGCTGGGCTGGATGCTTGTTGGCTCTAGGGTGGTTTTGTTGGCCAAGACCCTGACCTAGATTTTGTCATGTTTTCCTTAACTTTGCTACCCAGATACTTTGACTTCTAGTGACATTCCATGAGGACTAAATGTATCTTGAACCCTTCCTCTAAATTCTCCCTTTCTTTGATTAAGGTAGTTCAGTACCTGTTGTCAGCAACTTAGAGCACTGTATAAAAATGTGTTGTTCCCTTTGATCTGATCTTTTTTCTCTTGTGCATCTTTAGGTGGTTTGTGTTACTTAATTTTTATTTGACCTGGGTGTGATACTCAGATCTTCCTGCCATGCTGTAGCTGTAGATGTTTACCCTGATAATCAGGACTTGTGCTTGAGGTGAAATCCCTTTGGGAGACAATGTTGAGATGGGAACCTCCAGGTGTCTGGTGTGTCCCGGGGGTGATGCAGGGCCAGGCTGGACAGAACCGTGGTTAGCAGCTCCCTCTAGAGAGAGCAGGGAGGAAGAGTTGCCTTTCCAGGTACTCTGCTCTTGCTGCCTCATGCCCACTGGTGCCTTGCTCTCTTTCACCAGCATTTTGCTTCTCAAGAGGCTGGAGCTGTGTCTGGGATGTAATTTGGAGCTTTGGTTCTTCCTTCCTGGCCAGTGCTTTGATCTGCACTCTACCTGAGAAGGGAGCACAGTGCACTTTGGGCAGGGGTCATTTCCAGGGGGAGGGTGGCAAACCAGAATGGGTCCTACAAATCACAACTGTTTGCACATCTGTCCTGGGGGAATCCCTGCCAAAACCTTTGTGGGGTGATTGATATAATTTCTGTGCTGGAAATTTTGCCTGAGTGAAGGAGCACAGTGGTTCATGGAGGAGATGGGGCTGTGCAAGTCAGAGCAGAGCTGCTTCCTCCTGCCTCTGGCCAGGGCTGAGGAATCAGAGAGACCCACTGGGCATCTCTGGGGCTGGCTAGGGGAGGGTGGTTTAAAAAATTGACAACTATGTCTTTCCTCATTATCTTATGTAGAGGAAAAGAGTCAAACAGCTTCTTGCACTGCAGTGTTCAGTGTTCTGGGAAAAATAATGAAGGGGAGGCAGTGGAGAATTCTGCCTCAAAGTCCTGTTCCTATAGGGGAGGTGTCCTGGGGTTTGCCTTCTAAACCAGAAGAGTTTGCTGTATGCTTGTTTTAAGATGATTTTCTTCCTTTCCAAATGACTTTTGTTCACACGTCATCAGAGTTGACTGCTGTTATTCCATCTTCCTATTGGAGAATTGAACATTTTTCTTGTTATTTTTCGTGGGGTTTTCCCTCAGTTTTGTTAAAAACCTCACAGAAAGACACAACCAGTTGTATTTCCACTGTCTGAGCTCTTGAGAGTGTCCAGTGAATTCAGGTATTCTACTCTTGGCCTTAAATACCTCGTAGAGGAGACAGTTCCTTCTTCAATTTACTTGATATGAATCATATTGGCTTCTTGCTGCAACTTAGGGATAAATCTATTTTTCCCTCAGTCCTCTTTCAACTTTTCAAGAGCTGCCAGTGTCTTGGAGTTTATGTAGAGTTCAGACACACTTTTTCTGCCAGATGTAACTTTACTTTTGATGTTCTTTTCTGCCAGTGACAATCACTCTGAGATATTTTGCATCTTCTGTTACAAGAGGTTTTTCTTGCAGTAAATATGAAAAGACATTATTAATAATACAGACTTCTGTGGTTCAGTCTCCTCACAAGGCTGGATAAGAAAGCACCACAAACAGTCTGGTAACTCTCTTCCTCTTTTGATGGCTGTGTTCTCCTATCACCCCCCCATGGCCTTCCCATCCCCACCTGCAGGTCCCAAACCTGTAGGGTGCCCCAAGAGCCTCATGGAGCCCTCAGGCAGCCACTCAAATCCATCAGCACCTTGCATGAGTCAGCTGTGGCATGCAAGGGCTTCACCAGCAAAAGGAAGGGAAAGGAGGGGACAGGAAGAGCAGAGAGTATTGAAATAAAACCAATATAGATGGACAGGATGTGCCTGAGCTGGTCTGGCCCTTGGTGCTGAACCAGACAGCAGCACTGTGGTGTTTCACCCCACGGACACTTTTGCCTGGCTGGGTGTGTGGTGTTTGACCCCACAGACACTTTTGCCTGGCTGGGTGTGTGGTGTTTCACCCCACAGACACTTTTGCCTGCCTGGGTGTGTGGTGTTTCACCCCACAGACACTTTTGCCTGCCTGGGTGTGTGGTGTTTCACCCCACAGACACTTTTGGCTGGCTGGGTGTGTGGTGTTTCACCCCACAGACACTTTTGCCTGCCTGGGTGTGTGGTGTTTCACCCCACAGACACTTTTTCCTGGCTGGCTGCTGCAGTTGGGCACTGGGGACAAGTCCAGGCCTGCAGGAGCTCTGGTGGTGCTGGGATGGAGCTTCCCCCCATAACAGGGGCTGCTCCTCAGGTTTCCCTCTGTGGAGAAGCTTTCAGGCCATGGTGAAGGAAAGGAGTCGGTTCTGATGGAGGGTTTGGATCCAGAGCTTTATTCTGGCCCTCAGGCCTCTGAATGCAGCACCAGCTCCAACAGAACTCCCTGAGCCCGTGGCTGCTGCTCCTTTAACCCCGGGGAGAGGGGCAGGGAAGGGGCAGGGAGCCACCAAGCAGGGACAGGAGGGGAGGGACAAAGGGACAAAGGACACCTGGATGGCCCAATGCCCCCCAGGGGTAGAGGGCATCCTTTGGATCTGCCAATCACTCAGTGCCCTTCTGGAATGCCAGGACTGACAGACAGTGCTGGGAGGGGTCAGGGAGGGAAAGGAGAGGTGAGTGACACACCTGGAAGGGAATCTGCAGGGAGAAACCCAGGGTATCTGGGGCAAACCAGGACATCACACTGCAACATCAGAGACAGAGAAACCCCAACACAGTTGGCTTCCCATGAGCATCCCCCACACAACAGCAAACCCTCTGCATCTCACTTAGAGTGTGTGCTCTGGGGGTACCATGGGTGAGCAGGGATTTCCTTGTACTGGAGCCCTTTCTCAGTGAACTTCAGGTGTAAGCAAAAACCAGCAAAGTGTCTCTGCCCCCTTGGGACTTGTACGGGGATAGAATGTAAGAAAATAAAGATAGTGTAGAAAGTGATCTCACACCTAAAGAGCTGCAGCTGGGCCAATTAGCAAAGATCAGGAGCAGCCCTGACTTTAACAGGCCACAGCTGTGACCAGTGAGAGGAAGATGCTATAAAGAGTGGGGTGGCTGGGTGAGGGGGGAACTGGGGTCAGTGGCTGCTTTGTGGAGAAGAAAGAGTCAGTGCTCTGAGGAGATGCCCATGATAAAGGTGTGAAACTATTGTGATAGAAGACAGCAGCATGGAACCCAGGGACTGGTCTGGCTTTGTCTCCTGCCTCTCTTTTCCTTGTCACCCTTTTTGCTGGAACATGACCTTTCTTTTTGTTTTCTTGCAGGTACCTGAAGAAAATATAAATGGTGTGGTCAATGCACTCCAAGTCAGTCAAGCTGAAAAGCATTAGAAATCTTCTGAGCTGGTTCCAGATGCTTTTTATTATTCTAATAATAATAATTATTATTATTATTATTCTTTTTTTCTCACAGTATTTCTTGAAAAATCTGATTACAGAGAGTGACATGAAAAGAGACTGTGGAAAGTTGAGCAGAAACAGCTCCAATAAGCCTTTGTTTTAATTATTATTATTATTATTGTTATTATTATTATTATTGTTATTTTATTAAATTTATGAATGAGGGGCAGGAGGAAAGGGAGTTTGTATGGTTTCCTGATGTTCAGCTCCAAGGTGAAGTGAACCCTGGCTGTGCTCAGTGTGGAAGGAGCTGCCTGGGGACACCTGGGGACACCCACACCTGGGATGACCCTGGGCACACTGTGGGAGCAGGGGTGGCTCGAGAGCAGGTGGACAGACTGCTGCCTCAGAGAGCCCTGAAAACCAGAAACAAAGTGAAATATGGAATTAAACAGAAAAGACCTGGTATAGTACTGGCTTGTCTCCTTGCATCAGCCTTCTGAGGACTGTCCATCACTGCCTGTGTTGAGATAGGATCCAAAGGGTTCTGTTTCCCCTAACAGAACAATTTGGTGTTGGAAAAGAGGAAAGTATCCAATTGTTTGACATTTCCCCTTTTTCTTTCTCCCTGCAGTCAAAGCCTGGCTGCTCTGAGAAAGCCTGGGCAGGGGAGCCCAGCTCCTGGCAGGTGATGTCACCCAGATTTGGGTTTGCTTTGAAGCTTGGCAGGTTTGGGTCAGTTATTTCCAGTCCCTCCCTCACTGCTCCAAGCATTCTCTTGTCCCCTGCTCCAGGGGTGCTGTTGTCCCCTTCCCCCACATCAGAGCCTTCCCCCAGCCCTTGTTGTTCCTCAGGGCCAGCAAGAGGAGGGGAAGGCCTCTTTTCTCCTGTCCCCTCAGGCTTTTCCCATCCAGTGTGAACTCATGGGAAATAAAGGATTGCCCAGGGTCCCTGGGTAGCTGCTCTTGCACATCCAGGCCACCCTGGCCAAGAGCCACAGCTGGCTGCCTCTGCCAGGGCCAGGAGGTGCCTGAGTCTTGTGGGGACCCTCCTGCAGGTTTTCATCACACAGGTGGAAATTGCTGCTGACTGGGGAAAGCAGAGTGGTGCTGAAAATGCCTCAAACCTGCTGGCATCCGGTCCTGCACAGAAGATGATGGGGCTTTTCCCATGGGGAAGCAGCAGTGTGTTTCCTTCTGGCTTGTACCATGGCTGAGGGCAGGAGGAGCCTGGCACCAAGGTCACAGTGGCACCTGTGTCCTGGTTGTGTCCTGGCTGTGCCCTGGCCACTGCCAGCACTGTGCAGGGCAGCAGTGCTGGGACAGAAGTGTTACCCAGGGTGTGGGTGCCAGCACTCTGCCCCACTGTGACCGTGCCAAAGGGCTGCTGAGAGGAGGAGCTGCCTGCACAGGACCTTGCTGCTGTGATTACCAGCCCCAGCTTATCTTGCATTTCTTAACTTCTTCCACTTCAGCCTTGACATAAAGAATTTGCAGATCTTGCCTTTTTCCTGAGGGCTTTCCAGCCATGCTTCAGAGACAGCCCCTGGCAGGATTTCCCTGAGGCTGTGCCATACCCAGCTGTGAGCCAGGGTTTTGCACTCATCTGGAGGCAGTAAGCAAACACCTGGGATCATGCCATGGGCATGGTTTTACTGGTGTGTAGGACAAGCAAACACAGACACAGCTGCTGGATTGGTTCTGCATTCACAGTACTGGAGGGCCAAGCAGTTATGGTTTCTGATGCTGTTGGATTCAAACTGAGTTTTAAATATGATTTTTCAGCAGTGGGATGTTATGTGGCATCTAGACAAGGAGTCAGAGCAGCCATGGGAAAAAGCATGGATAGCTTTCCTTGGTTGGCCCTACTGGAGCTGAGGAGCACTGAGGCAGACGTTCAGTGCTTCACCAAACAGGATGTCCTGCTGCTCCTTACATGGGTTTTCAGAATTGTCCCATGAGGTGTTTATATTCACTCCAGATTTCTGGGCTAAAGGTTCATTCTGGATGTGGCACTGTGCATCTCTGGGTGTTTGTTTGGAAAGGTGCTTTGTTCTCCTGCCAAGGACACAGGCTCAGGCTGTCAGTGCAGTGCTGAAGGCATTGGAGGTGTTTGCTGTGGCTGTGCCCAGTGCTGTGGGCACTGACTGGGCTGGCAGCAAGGCCAGGGGTGGCTTTTCCCCCAGATGTTGTCAGAGGGTTTCTCCTTGGTGTGGCAGATTGGCAGCATGGCTGGAGGGAGGGGATGTTCAGCTGCTGAGGTGCCAGCCAAGGTTCCTGCTCAGCTGAGCTGAGCCTGAGCTTTTGCTGTGTGCAGGGATGGTGCCACCAGAGTCATCAGGACAGGGCTTCCTTCTTCCTTCTGCCCTGGGGTTCTGTCAGCCTTTGGGAAATGCCCAAAGTTTTGGCTTCAGGGAGTGCCAAGTGTTGCTCTGCATGTGCCAGGGCTGCTTCCAAAGGACTTCAGCATGGATAGGAAGGAATTAACTTGAAACAAGCAACAACTTTACTGAGCCTTAAATGAAAGCAAAAAAAAAAAAAAAGGTTTAATTTTCTAACATTGCACTCAGGCTATTTTAGAGGCTGATTTTTGTAATTTAATTTTTTTTCCCAAGGGAATCAGCCTTATATTTGTGAAATCTGTAGAAAGCTCTGTGGTATTTCAAACCTTCCAAAGGAAGGTTGATGTCCCAACATGGCAAAGTTGGCCTGAAAAATTCACAGGATGTAAAATTACATTGAAGGACTCTGATGCTGCCACCATCCTTGACTTCACCTTATTTCCTTCTATTGTTTTGTCCTGACATCCAAGAAAATTGTTTCAGACAACTTGATGCTTTCCCTTTAGAATTCCCTTCATATTTTTTCTGCTGGGAACTGAGATACTCCAAATGTGGCCATAATTGGTGGAACCTGTCCCTGCACCAGCCTGAATTCAGGATCAGTGCAAGCTGAGACCTGCACTGCAGGAAGGGCTCTGTGGGGGCTTTGTTAAATATTTTCATAGTAACAATAATCCCACCACACTATTGACACCCCAGTGCTCAGTGAACCCAAAGTAGGGGGGCTCTAAAAGCTGCTCCACAGCTCCCACTCTCTCAGCACCCAGCCTTTGGGCTGGGGAAGAAGTTGAAGAGTCTTTTCCTTTTTTTAAAGGAAGAATCTTTTCCTTTTTTTCCTTATGATAATACATCTGAGTATCCCTGCCATTTTGCTGTTCAGTAATGTGAGGATAAATGGAACATGTCTCAATGGACCCCTTGGCTGGGTGCCTGGATTACCTGCAGCTGCCCTCCCTCAGCATCCCTGCTCACCCTCTGGGCAGCTCCACCTGGCCATGGCTGCTCTCATGAGGGATTGTCTCAATCCTGCAGGGCCCTCCCTGTGCCCTCTCTCCTCTCCTTGCACAAAATTGACCAAACAGCAAAATGCAGAAGTGTTTCCAGCCCTGCAGAAAAGAGTAGGTGAGCATGGCCTTCATGCATGCTCTTTCTTTCTCCAAGGCCTTTATTTTCTTAGAAGCCTCAACCTTTCCAAGTTGTGTCATTAAATAGAATTTTGTCTTTCTCCCTCAACCCAATTAGAATTTGACTACAAATTCCTTTCTACTGAGCAAGTGTGTGCATATATATAGAGAGATCTTAAATGTTTCCATAGAAATCCATAGTGTGTTTCTCTTGCACACCTATAAATACCCCTGTTTGTCTGTAGGGGTGTGTCCTGTACATGGTGTGGGCACTCTCACACATGTACAGTGTATGTGTGCACACTCTGGGCACACACCCTTGTGTGGGCATCTATGTAGTGAGTACTGTATACACACACTTATTCACCATGTATTTTAATTCAAGTAATGGCCAATATGAGTATTAATTCCACTCTTGCTTTTTCTCTCCATGTGTTTAGTGAAGAGCAGCAGTGGAGTCGACCTGGAGCAAAGCTGGGGCTCCTCTGCTTGCTGGGAGCAGCACTGGATTTCCCTCTCTGCTTCAGAGAATTCTGAAAATTCTGTTCCTCTCCTCTTTGTTGCCTCAAGCACAGAGACTGTAGGAAATCCACTCCTTTTTCTTTCTGGATGCTTTAGCTGCTGCCCTCAGCCTGTGAGCAGGGCTGGTCTGTTTGCACAGTGCCTGCCCAGAGCCTGGCTGGGGTTTCCAGAGGGGTTCCAGCCTCTGCAGGCACAGAGCCCTGCCTGCCTTCCCCTGGCAAGGCAGGAGCTCCTGGGGGTTTCCTGCAGCTGGGGAAACCTGGAGGAGGCTCTGGGGTGGCCTGGGCACCAGCACCCACCCTGAGCTGCTTCCTGGTGCCCTTCCCCAGCATCTCTGCAAGACCTGGGGCAGGTGCAAGGTTTGATTTCCTGGTGGGTTTGTGTGCAGTGGCAGCCCATGGCTGGTGCAGGGCTCTGGTATTTGTTGGGGAATTCACATTTGTTGGCCTGTGAGGAGCTGAAATCAGTGGCTTATTTTTAAATAGATGGAAGTGCTGGAGGGTTTTTTCCTGTTAAAAGCAGAAGAGGCTGCTTGAACCCAGTCACTGGAAGTGTGGGGTCTTTGCACCTCACCAGTGGAGATTTCTGCTGACCAGGAGTGCAGTTAGGTCCATGGAGGGAAACATCCTGCTCTCCTATTGCAGAAAGGGGGGTGGGGAATGAGGGCTGCTGCCTTGCCACTGACCTTCTGGCACTTGGAAGTTGATGATTTTTCAGGCCTGCCCCCCTAAATACACCCTTGCACAGGTTTGTGCAGCCTTTGGTTTCTTTCCAGGCTATGGATGGGATGTATCAGCCTCTTGCAATGGAAATACCTGGTTTTGCTGCAGCATAGAGACAGTGGCACCTGCAGTGGGTGACATAAGAGCTAAGACTCACCTAATGACAATGCCATTAATAAAGCACACTCATCATCCTGCTGCTCTGAAATGTGCTTTAAACTCCAAGTTCTGTGTTACCATTCCCAGGGCAGAGGCTGCTGGTCACAGATGAATCAATCTCCTCTCTCATTAAAAGTGTGTTGGTGTCAGGTCCTGCTTTGGGCTAGCAGGGGACACTGAGCAGGGATTTACTTTTTAAGATGTGCCATGCAGATTTGGGTGTGGGGACTTCTGGGTTCTGCTGGGAGCTCCTGATGGCTCCAGCCAATCAAAGCATCCAACAGGAGTGCATCAGGTTCCATTTTTCTGCAGCATGATGTTTTGTCCTGCCAGCAGTGGGAGGAAATAAGGAGTGCAGCATGAGGGAGT